ACCCCATGATAATTGGAAGTATAATATGGTTATCCATATGCCCGATAATTTGAAGAGCTCATGCTCCCTGCTCATTCAATGTGAATAATATGATGCCAATTATCTTTGCATTCTGTTAGCAGCAACCATGCACTAAACCATGTAATACAATTTTCCTTTATTTTTTACATGCACAAATGCACAAGATCCACAAGATACTTTAATTTAGTTTTTCTTTCCCCTCTTCTTCCATGCATCTTCCAAAGGATGACATATACTTAATAAAATGCATGAAGTCAGCTTTCTGTGTTTAATTTCAAATCTCAAGGCATCGTTATCTCAATAAGCTCATTTTCATGAACTAATTACACTTTAATAACTCTTCAAGCATGTATTTACAATAAATTAAGTTTGGAATAAAAGGACTAATATAGATAAAGTCATTATCATCCATCCAAGAATATGACTTTTGTTTTGATGTATTCTCATTCTCTTTCATATACACACATAGTATAAGATTTAATCCTTTACAGCCAAATGTATATAAGATTTCCACTTGTCAATAAAAGACAGATAACATACAGAAAATGTTATACAGGATACAGTGGCGGCAAACTTTTGGATTGTCCTCTGACAGCTCAATGACCTTCAGCTAATACTTGCTTGATAATAGAGTGCATTAGTCATCCTCAAACTGAAAAGAGCACAATACATTGCTCCTATTCAGTATGTTAACATCCCCTTTCCTTCTGCTTGATATATGTTTTGCAAAGGCACCACCAAATGGTAGACGATAGTTATAAGCAGATAAGTGAAAAGTGGCTACCTAAACAACAACAAACAAACAATTTAACTACAGAGCACAGCTCAGTTATGAGCCTTTCATGTTCAGTTAGGCTTAAGAATAGAGTTTTGCCTATTGATGGAGCAAGCCAAAGGTCAATGTATATCTCAGAGAAAATAATCTATATCACATCATATGGCAAATAACTATATCATAAACTAGCAAAATGTGATGGGAACAATTTGATTATG